GAAAAAGGAATTTAAAAGTCCAAGGCTATGTGTAGCCTGCGATCTCAGCTTTCCTGCCTTCGTGCACGGGGCCAGGCGCGCTCTGACCATGACACTGAGAGCAGCAGTTTTTAAAGATTCACTCAAAGCTCCTCCTTCCCAGGCACGGATTCTAAGGAAACCCCAGTGCCATCCCGGTCTGAGACTCTGCAGCCATGTGCTGAAATGTCTAGGCAGAGCTAAAATAAGCATCGCTAGTGGAGAAAACCCACCGAGAAGTTTGAAATCAGAGCTGCCGAAGGTCACTTGCTATTTTCGTAGCTGCAAGCTGGTCCTCGTTTTATAACATCACAGTTATAAACTGGAAATTATCATCTTACTTTTCAGTTTACTTCTTTTACACCAAAAGGAGCAAGAGGTAGCCTGTGTTCAGCATAGAATTAGGTAATTTGCGTCACTTGTCTCCCGTTTGCTTTATTGTTAGAGTCATAGGCAGGAAATGTTGCTTTTCATGTATTTCTTTAAACACGGCTTCAAAATGTTTTTCTTACATCCTTTTACATCATCTGATGTGTTTGACCTTCAAAACTCTGCTTAGTTCTGTAAGCTGTACCACACACACATCTCAACCATGCTGTGAACGCCTTAAAGAGGAAATTCAAAAATGATAGAGAAGTGTATTTGTCTATATTGATCATTTTAAAGCTGTCCTGGACTTTTTTGGATTATTATATCATTTGAGTCATACATTGTTGTGTTTTCTTTCAAACATCCCATATACAAAGTTATAAATTCTATTAATTGAATACAAATCTTGTTTTCCAACAACCCTTCCCTCAAGAAAAATGTCAGGACCAAATATTAAACCAAAACAGTCATTTTATAGGAAAACAAAAAACTTTAAATGTCCTTCTATGGGAGGATGCAGAAGGGAAAGAGAAACTTCTTATGAAATTAACAAAGAGAAGTTGGGGACGTGGACTTAGCCTGTGATCACATTCCCAGTTTTCCCTCACCTGCAACAATGCTGCCATGGTGCCTCCTCTTAGAGTTAGAAGTGAATAACTGAACTGAACACGTGGGATTGTTTTTCTCTTCTTTCAACATCATTTTATAACTACCCAAGCAGCCTCTGCCCTCTCTGTGAATCGAACAAACCTCTGTCTTTTGAACGAATCTACAGAATTTCAACTACTAAGAAACCGTGGCTGAGTTCTCCTATCAGGTTCTCTCAAACTCTGCATAAGGTCAGGAAAAGCAGAGTACAGGGCCCACATGCAGCGGCTCTGACAGCTGCTGGACTTTTCTGAGTTTATTTTCTGTGCCGTACCCTTGGCACACCCATGAGCTCAGCATGCAGCATGCGCTTCTGCGGTGTTTATCCCTAGCTAGAGAATGCGACAAAAACTGAGCTCTCAGAAATAGCTGCCATCCAAGCCACAGCAGCGGATGCAGGGTGCACGGCTGCCCAGAAAGATTCCACCTCCCTGTTCACTGGCCTCAGCCTCTTTGTCCAGACTTTCTCACGTGTCTGCTCCCAGGAGAGCCTGAGCATACTATTACCTTCTCTACTTTTGCAGGCAAGGACTCTTGAAAGTGCCTTTGGCTCCTGGAAGGAACCTGCACACTGTACCCACTGTCTCTCCCTTTGTCCCTTCTTTTAAAGTCCTTCTCATCTTTTCACAACTGCAGACTCTCAGGCCAAGCACACCGTCTCCTCTGGTGCCCAAGTGTCTTACTATCCTTCTAGTGGGCAGAAGGAGCCCTCCACCCGCACCCTGGGGAGACCAGCTCTAGCTGTACTGTGTGCCTTTTCTATGGAGCAGAGCCCGGAGAGAGTCCAGTCTGCTTTGCACACGGCTCACCTGGGGGACAGGGCTGAATGGTGGAGACAGCAGAGGAGGAGGCTGTGTCCACAGCTTTGCCCACAGGGCCAAGTCTTCCGCCCAAAGAGATTTGACTTGTGTTTCTTATCCCAAGGGTATGGGGCAAAACAGTGAGTTTGTGTTTAGTGCTGACTTCAAAGCCATTCTGAGGGCTTAGGCATTGGGTGTTCATCTTAGCCTGTGTTAGAAACAAGCTAGACTTCTTGCCAGGAAGGTCAGACTTGATTTCAGAGTGCCAATTTCTAACTCCACAAAAATGGATCCAGAGTCACTCACTCCCTTTGAACCCCAAATGAATCCTCAGTGAAAGGGGCCTGATTGTCAGGAAGTAAGGGTTGTAAGGCAGTTCTCTACATGTGCCTTCAGGATATCGTTCGCCCTACTCAGGACACATCTTTCTCTCCTCCATGTGACAGACTCCTATTGATCCTGCAAGACCTAAGTGTTCTCCACTTTGGTAATGTTTTGTTTGTTTCCCCCATACTGAGTGGGAGACTTTGTTCTTTGGGTTCTCACAGTAACTCAGAGCAGTTATTTCATTTAACTATATGATAGTAAGATCCTTTAAAATGAAGACATGGTTTGCTGTTAATCTATACCTCGACTGGATATATACAGTTGCTCAAAATCTATTTGTTGTCTGGACATATAATGACACCATGCTGGACTCTACCATACAGTTCTTGAAGAACTCACACTCTTGAAATAGCTAAGCCAAAGGATCTACACAAATAATCAGAGTTTAATAAAATCTCATTGGAATGAGTGTTCTACAGGGGGCAGAATTAAGGTGGACTGAAGCCGGCCCTTCTGCAGGCCCAGGGAAGGCCAGGGAAGCCTGTGCGGGGCAGGACTGGACATCCACGCCCTGTTCTGAAGCATGTGTGTTGATTGAATTTGCGTCTTTCATACCTGCCCATATCTTCATCACACCCGCCCCTCGTCACACCCCAGAGAGCCCTCAGTTTTGATGGTGAAGGCCAGGGAGCTCTTAAACTTTAGCCAACAGTTCCCAGAAGATAACTTACAAGAGCCGATAAGGTGGATTTCATAATACAGTTCTAGTTTTGTTTATAAACCCTACCATCTATAAATTACCAACAAATCAGTATATCTTTAAAGATGGAAAAAACTACTAGGAAAAGATAAAAGTTTGAAAACTATAGAGCTATAAAACCTTGTGTTTTCATTATATACCTCCCGGAGAAGAGATATATTTTTTAGAATCGGAATAATTGGACTGCCCCAATGAAATTGAAACATGATGAAGCGTGACATTCCAATCTATTTTAATATGATGTGGAGAGTAATTCCTGCCCTTTTTTATAACATAGGAGGATGTTCAATAAAACTTTGAATATAAGATTTTCTTAAAGAAAGGACTTTGTCACGTGATGAGCAATGTAAGTTTAGAAATGTTCAGTGCTGAAGCCAGGAAAGTACAACTATAATTCAAAGTTCTGTACCACTATCTACTATCCGTTTATTGTTCTGATTGGAAAACTCTAGCAAATACTGAAATACTTTCTTTCAGTAGTATTTGATGCCGATTGCATCAAATACCCCTGTTTTATCTCTGCTGGATTTGCCATCGCTTCCCCGATGGCAAATGTAGAAAATATCTTAATAGCGAAAATGGTTTATTCCGTGTTCACAGGGTGCCAGCCAATCTGCAAAGCAGTTTTATTTACAAAGTTCATTAAGAAATTAAGCTTGCATTTTTCATTGTATACCTCACAGGAACATGATTTACGTCACACTATAGGAAGTAAAGTGGAGTGAAAACAAAGTAGCCCTAGAGCCACTCAGAGAGCCATCCCGGAGCAACAAAATACAGTCATTTCAAGTAAACACAAAGTGCATTTGTAAGGGTATGGCATTAGGAGTCGGGGGTTCAGCTCAGTGGCAGAGCCCTTGCCTGCCAAGCACAAGACCCTGGCTTCAGTCCTCAACAGCAAAAAGTTAAAAATAACAAAAAAGAAAGGGTACAAACTTAAACCCATGGAAGGTTTCATTTCTGTACAAACCAGGAAAAATTACTGGGCGAAAGGTGAGGTCACCCGCATTCTGCACACACCCCACTGATAGAATCCGTGAGTATTTTGATTTCTCAAGCTGTCCCATTTTCCCAGTGTTCAAATAGCAGATGGGACTTAAAAGAGACTGCCTGGTGGCTCCATCCAGTCCAGGGCACTTGGGGCAACTTTCAAGGTGGGCTCTTCTACCTGGTTCCATGCTCAGCCCTCTCCCCTTCAATGTGAAAATGATTGGGACTTAAGACCCAATGTATAACATACTTTGTTTGAGATAAACCACCCAAAAGGGTCATTTGTTACTGCTTTTGGAAATATAATTGTTTTCTCTTTTCTAATGTTTTAAAGGAAAATGTCATGCTAGAAAAACCTAAAAACTTGAAGAGCATGGCTCCCATGTGGCAACTGTAATAATAATCAACTCACAAGTTCCTATCACAGCATCAAACCCCTCTCTTGTTCTCTGTGTAAGACAGACACAGAGCCCCCAAATCAGATCTACGAAACTAACATCCCCAGGGAAATTCTGCGTCTGCGTCTCTGTCACTCCACCCCACCCCTTGTCTGTGGGATAACCTCCCATTCTCCAGTTTACCATTAAATCCTTGCTTTTATTTATTTTGTTAAGTGCCTTGCATAAATGTCTTAAACCTGAGCTACCTCAACCGCTCCTAGACTTTTCCTGTTTCAAAAATGAGTGAACAGATTTATATTTTAATTCCCTCTTTCTGAAATAAAATACAGGTCTAGCAATTCTGAAAACATTTTGAACAACTGTATGTATTAAGGTTATTAATGGACTTTCAGGCCCCAAAGCAACTGATATAGTTCTGTGTGTTAAAGTAAAAATTATTTGAATGTTTTGCAACTTGGGAAACCCTAAGGCTGTGATCAAGAGAGGGAAGAGTAGAGAGGCAGGAATATTTCAATTTTTAAAAACTGGAAGGGTTTGGAGACTTTAAAATCAGACTGTGTTGTCCAGGACATGCTGAAGCCATCAGAGTCTCCAGCAGGCATTTCTACAGTAAACACATGAGCAACAATTTCCTTTGAGCAGAATGATTTCACTAACCACCCCTGGCTCTGCCTTTCTCTCTTGCAGACCGGATTGCACAGAACATCATTAAGTCTCATTTGGAGACATGTCAGTACACCATGGAAGAGCTGCACCAGCTGGCATGGCAGACCCACACCTATGAAGAAATCAAGGCGTATCAGAGCAAGGTACGCGGCAGCAGTGAGGCGCTGCTCTATGATTCCCCTTCTGGTTTTCCCAGTGTCAGCACTCCTGATGTCTTCCATCAGACCTGTCCTTGCTCTAAGAGCCGTCCAGTGCATTCTGGGATATTCAACAATATCTCTGATGCTATCCTCAAGCAGCACAATAACCAAAACTGTCTGTAGTTATTGCCACATGTTCCCCGGAAGGCATAACTGTCCTGATCAAAAACCACTGTGAGAAGGACAGAGCGATCTGTGCCTTGATCAGAGTGTTTTAGGACACCACATGGTGGGTGGTCCCAGGGCTAGGAGTGGCTGAGTAGTTAGAGTTCCAGGAGCAGTCACAGACTCACACCGCAAAGATACAGAGCAAAGCATTCCAAACTCATTTCCTGCCCTACATATCGAAGACCGCCCAAGGCAAAAGAACAGCTCACCCTACATTATTAGTAGCATTGGTGTGCACACTTTTTGTGTGCATTGTAATTCTCATCGCTTGACTTTGGGATTGAGATATTCATTTGTAAGGCCCAGCGGTTAATGAAATTTTAATTTTAAAAAATGTATATGATTCAGACAACACTGGTTTTTCTCTAACAGAAAAGCTATCTCTTTATGTAAACATAGAAACAGAGACAGATATCACTATCATCAATAAAAATAGAATTAACATACATAGATTTAGGATTCTCAATTTTTAAAAAAGTGCAAAATATTTGAGGATTGTATGTTATTTAAAAGTGTGATTTGATTTGATTTGACTTGATTTGATTTGATCTCTTTTTTGGAATTCATTTCATACAAAACAAAATCTCTTTAAGTTCTGGAAAAGGAACAAAACAACAACAAAATATCCTAAGTTTCCTCTCCATGAGGTACCCATGGAAATGACATTATGGAAGGAAGGCAATGCTACTGCTCATGCCAAGGGTTTATTTTTATGTAGTGAGCTAAAATCTTGAGTTTGTTCCTGTGAGAAGGAAAAATAAGGAAAGAAATTAGTCTCTTCACACACTCTAAACTCAGCCTCAGTGTTTCCACATTTGTGGCGTAGTGAGGGAACCATCGGCAATACTTAGATTTAAAGAAAAATTAAAATGAAAATGAGAAAAGGAAACACCGCCCTCCTTTTCTAAAGGAATTGTGTGATTCCCACTGGGCATCCCCAGCTACAGGACAGCCCCACCAGGCAACCCTGCGTGTTTTCCTGACTCTGTTTCCATGGTGCACCCTCTTTCCTACAGTCCAGGGAAGCACTTTGGCAGCAGTGCGCCATCCAGATCACACACGCCATCCAGTACGTGGTGGAGTTCGCCAAGCGGATCACAGGCTTCATGGAGCTCTGTCAGAACGACCAGATCCTACTTTTGAAGTCAGGTGAGCAAGGAGAAGCTTCCCAGGGGCCCATTTTCGGCAGGCCTGTCGTTGGTCCTTAGCTCTGGGATGGTTCTAGAGCATCCTCTTCCCAATACGTAGCTCATTTTACACCCACGTTGTCAGCTAAACCTCAGAGGAAAGGCTCTGTAATAAAACGCCCTGATCCTCGCTCCGTTCTCCTTTGAAGTCAAATGCAATTTTGCTTATTGAAAGTGCAGCTATTAATTGCGGAGGCTGAGATACCCAGCTTGACAGGCAGAGCAAATAATTAGTGTGTCAAGGTGGCTGAATTGCTGAGCTGCGCTAAAACTTACTGCTTGCCTTCTGCAAGAGGAAAAATTGCAGGCTAGCTGCGCTCTGCCTCTGTGGTCATTTCCCTCACTCTAATGAGGCTAGCCTGCAGCCAGGGCACACTGGGAGAGCCTCTGCTGAGCGCTGACCTTTCCCTCCTCTTCGCATCTACACTCCACCACTCACGAAATCACTTAGGAAGGAGCCCCAAGAAACTGCATGTGATTGTCTTGGCTAATGCTATTACCTACCAGGAACAAAGACTTCTTGGGTCCCAAGAAACACAAAATAGGGACATCGTGGTGTTTGTGATGATCTTCATGGTTCTCATCCATGAATGTTAATAATATTAGCATCCTTTTTAGATATGATAATATAGGTACATATTTCATCTTTACCTATGGCACTGCATTTAGTCTTATGAAATTGGTATTATTTCCATCTTCAAGCAAAAGAGGCTGAGACTCATAGAAGTGAAGGGATGTGTTCAATATCACCACACTGGTACTAAGCTGATATTAAACTTGAGCTAAATATGGTTGTTTTTAAAAATGTTTTTGCTTTGCTGAATAATGCGCATTGGTGAAAACCAAGACTCTAGGACTAGACTCAGTCAAAACAACTATTTCTTTTGTTCTCAAAGCTGGGTGCGGGGGCTCAGCAGGAGTGACATCTCTGCTCCAAATGATGGTCATTAAGGCAACTCTACAGGGGCCTAGAGGAGCCACTTTCAAATTTGCCTGCTCACCTGGCTGCACTGGTCAGCAGGGTGGAGCTCACCAGAGGTTCTGTTGGGAGCCTCAGCCCCTGTCCTTGTGGGCCTCTCTGCTGACTACTTGAGCTTCCTGCTACCCAGCTGTAGGCTCCCAAATCTGCCATTTGGAGAGAGAACAAGGAGAGAACAGATCTCTTTAATTCAGTCTTAGAAATCAGATTATTAGTTCCATCATAGTGAAGTAGTCAAAGCTTTCACAAAGGCCTGCTCAGGTTCAAGGGTGCTAGATGTGGATTCTTCTCAGTAGGGCATGGTAAGTCTAGAAAAGCATGTGAGAAGCAAGATGTCAGTGTGACTCTCTTTGAAAAATAAAATCTTCCCCACTCGACATAAAACCTCTCAAGATGATGGTTTCCTCATTTGTAAAATAAAGAGATGAGCTAGAAACAACGAACTCCTAAGCTTGGAACCAGGAACACCAGAAGAGCTTACTGAAAGCTCAGGGGCACAAGCACTACTGCAGGCCATGGAATCCAAGTCTCCAAGACAGGAACCTAGGTGACTGTATTGCTAAGTAAGAGTCAGATATCACCAACCCATGGACTGACCATGAACCACTGAATCGTATAATCTTTGGCATGTCTCCCTGCTGTAAAAATGTTTATTCTGGTATATGAGGCAGGCTACTTAATCTCTGTAAAGCGCCTGTAACTTGTTCATGATATGAGGCTAATAAAATTAGCCCAAAATTGTTACTGCAAAGATGATAATGAATGTAAGGAGACAAAAAAGTACCTTCCATAGTATACATGCTTGATAAGTGATATCTCTCCTGGTTGGTGTCAGAAAAGGATCGTTACAATTAACCTTTGCAAATCCTCTCCTGTGTAGTAGCAAACAGAAATCAGTAGAACAAGGGCAATAAAACACAGACATGAAGGGCCAGGGGTTTAGCTCAACAGCACAAGAACTTGCCTGGCAAATACAAGGTTGTGAGTTCAATACCAGGTACCAAAAAAAAAAAAAAGAAAAAGAAAAGATATAAAGTAATGTGATAAGACAGGCACCAAAGACACCAAATTATCGGTAAAATGTTCTCTTGTCAATTTATGGCTTCAGGGTCTGACAGTCACCTGTCATTGATGAGACACACACCCATTTCCCCAAACAAGAGCAGCTGTGCCACACTAGCTCCTTACCATGTCACTCAGTGTTCAGAGAGGAAAACAAAGACAATTCACACAGTCAATATTATTAACTACTGACCATGTGCCAGAGAGTTTTCTTATTCTTGGGTATGCAAGAATAAACGTAATAACCCAACAGCCTATTACTACAGACAAGATTCCTGTCTCTTAGGCTGATGCTGGACTATCTAAAAAGTGCTAAATTCACCCAGGTTAATCTATCCAAGACCTCTCAGAACCTTTGATCTATGAGTGTTGATTATAACTCACTGGGGGGAGCGTATTCAGCATTTTGCCCAAACTTATGTCACACTTTTTCAAACTTATTGCAACACTTGTTTCAAAGGGCATCAGACATAAATGGCGCCCCAATCAGACACAGATGGAATCTCTACTCAAAGTCATCCTGTGTTGAATTATGTACGGAGTATGTTAAAAGAAACTCCACCTCTCAGATAAAACTGAGAACAAGTTTCTCCAGTAGCAGAACATCTGTAGAAGCAGGAGTGGACCTGCCTGACATAGTTTCTTTCTGGGTCATTTGTCACCAATTATGACTTCAAGAACAGAAACTAACTTTAATATTATCCAATGATAAGAGGGAAATGCTTCCCCCAAAGGATGCTGGTGCCATCTTTAAAGTGTGTGTTCTCTTTAATTCTGCACATAAGCATCAAGAGAGCTTCCTATGCAAAACAGTTATTTAGGGGAAGGAAACTTGAGGGGCATACTTTTGTACATGTCTTTGTGTTTCTGTACATATCCAGATGTGTGTTAAAGTTCTTGAGAGTCTCCTAACATTCACTCGGTTATAATTAGGACATATACATGTGTGTTTTTAATGTTTTAACTCAGGTTGCTTGGAAGTGGTTTTGGTGAGAATGTGCCGTGCCTTCAACCCGTTAAACAACACTGTTCTGTTTGAAGGAAAATACGGAGGGATGCAGATGTTCAAGGCCTTAGGTAAGTTACCCTCAGAGGATGGCACGATTTCACCAGCTATGTCAGCTCCTGCCAGAATAAAATACTTCAATGTGAGGTTGGGATTAATTTGGACCAGGTGAACACCAGCTCTACCGGTGCCCCAGAGCTTCTGAGTTTACTAGCAGAAAATTGTTGCTCTCAGTGAGAAATATATAAAAAGCCCCCTCTTTCAATTAATTGTCTTGACTAATGAGTATGGATTCACATAGGAAACTTAAGAGGTCACCCCAGTGGCCTTTAGGGATCTGTGTACTATACTTTGTGAAACAGTAAAGCAGAAGGTAAAATAAAAGCTGAGTTTACAGTGAATGCATTCCAGCTTTTTGAGCATCAGTCTGCTCCCGTAAGGTCTCAACAGGGTCTGTGGGTCACTCTTTTTCCTATAAGGAGCTACAGTTGCAAAATCAGGAGAGCTGCATGAAATACTAGAAGATCTCTTGGTCCATCTTTTATCCAACTCTCTTGACTCTGCAATCGTAGCTCCTTATAGGACAAAGAGTGACCCATAGACCCCAGCCTCTCTTGGGGAGGCACCAACACCATCAGTCTTTGCTCGGAAGTGCTTCATGTCCCCACTGCCAGTCATCAGCATGCCGCACAGATCAGAAGGACATTAGAAAAGAAGGACTGGTGCCAGGAAAAGTTCGAGTGATTCCCGGTGCTCCTTGTTCCATGTCCTGCCCAAGAACACCAAAGAAACCACTACCCTTTCACCTCTTGTGCCGTTAGGTGATACGGCAGCCAGCGGCCAGTCCATCAGGACTCGCAGTCTTTCCCTTGTACAGCTGATACCCATCCCCGCTGTCCCCAGGGCTAGATTTTCAAGAAAGAAGAAAGAGCCTTGGCAAGCAACTTCAGTATATTTCCAGCTTCATCAAATAAACATTTACCAAGGATCAATGAAGAGACGCAGCACTATTCTGCCAAAATTCACAATGGCTAAGCAGCTGACCTGCAAGCTGGGCATTAGCAGTTAAGAATAAATAAACTTTAACTCTTCTATCACCTTTCCTGGAAAATGACCAGCTGAGAGGTAGTCATTTCCATTCTATACGAAGTTTTTGATGTCTTAGCTTAACCGCCCTGGACACTTTACACAGCTAAGTTTAAGTATCACTAACACTAGGAGTCCCCTGACCCCATAGGTAATGATTCAGATTTTCCATGAATGTTCCAAAAGATCCAAAAATCATTTATTTACAAGTTTTTAATGATAGATAATTTCAGATTTATAAAATGGGATTCAGATCTTGTACTCCCAGCTACATGTCACACTGAGTACACACCATGATGACTTGCTCATGACTGGTAATAATTTCCTCATTCTATAATGAATATCAAGTTATTTTGTATGGTTAGGAGCTTAGAAATGTTTTTGCTAGGTGTCCAGTATGCAAAGCCTTGGGTAACTTCTTGTTAATAAGACTTTCTCACTCTTCCCCAGATCTAAGTTCAAGTACTTCCATTTAATTTTTCTTCTTCCTTTATAGGTTCTGATGACCTCGTGAATGAAGCATTTGACTTTGCAAAGAATTTGTGTTCCTTGCAGTTGACAGAGGAGGAGATCGCTTTGTTCTCATCTGCTGTTCTGATTTCTCCAGGTAAGGAGGCCTCAGGTCTTATCTTATGTTCAAACCTGTTTTAGTATCCTAAGTATCAGTCATACCTATGGAGGCCTCAGTGTTCAGGAAAAACGTTAATATAATTATACTTTCTTTAGCAGATTTTTTGTATTTGGGGGCAACATGAGGGAAAGCGTTTTAAATTTATTAAAATAACAATTTTGCCTCAAAAGCAAGAGCAGAGCGTGTTACAGGAGTCACACCAGACCTAGATAAGTGAAATCGTTCCTTGAAAAGTAAATGAAGACAAATAATAGTCTGAGTTCTATTTTGACTCTAAGAATAAAGGACAGAGAAAAAAATTTTAAAAGAAGTGTGGTATAGAGAAACCTGCAGAAATATACTAAATGAAAGACCCAGCCTAAGGACAAAATAAGCAAATATGTTTCCTCGCTGACTTTTCTACCCAAATTAATGGAATGCTCACTTCAGGCAATTAAAGGTAGCTTTGTTCAGGCAATTAAAGGCAGAGATTTAAAGGGGAATAAGGACAGCAGAGTCCCCTCTACCTGTGGCCTCTATACAGGTCCCTGGCGGAAAAGGAATCTCAGACACAGAAGTAGACAGGCTAGTGGCGGCTCTATCTGTGGGACCCTGAGTTCTTGGTTTCTCAGAGCCACACTTCCCACAGCTGTAAATTAGGGGATAAGGAAAATTTCTTGGCTCTAAAATGCAATCAAAGGCCAAAGCATGTTCATAGAAAAGTGCTGTTTATAGATCAACCGGAACTATAGCCATTGACATGCTTTTTACAACTCTATATCAACTTGAAATGTAATAATAATTTAATCATAATAATATAATAAAAATAATAAAACAATAAATGCATGCTTTTCCAATCAGGATGAGAATTCAGAGTCACTCAACTGTTTGGTGAGATTTTGGGTTGAGTGATAGCATCACTGATAGGTGTCTACTGAAAGAAACACACATTCCTGCCTAATTTTTAAGGGCAGAGATTCATTCTCCATTTATCTTCAGGGCTAGATCTCTTTTCTTATAACCTAGTTTTCAAGGAGGCTGGAAGAAATCAATCTTACATGTAGTGTGAGATTACATCTTACAGTTTTGACATGTCATTCAAGCTATATTTACCATAATACCAAGTGGTGTGCTTTTTAAATCACGGAGACACTATTATTCCTAATATGATCTTGAAGTCTTACTGAAGTTAGTCTAGCTTCTGTTTTTATATAAGTTTATTAAAAATGGAAATTAGTTATAATATGAAGTGTTACTAGAAGTTTCTTCAAAGAATCTATCCAAAATCAGCCTGTTCCTATGATCTACACACACACACACACACACACACACACACACACACACACACGCGCACACACACACACATAACTTCTCTCATTGCATTTGATGGTTTTCGTTCAGTACAGTTCAGTGTGAGACTGAGTCTAGCCTGTGGGTCTGTTGGTGATGGAGGCAGTTTCTCTGTGGTCCTTGCTAACTCAGAGAAGAGCCCTGGGTGGAATCACTCTTCAGATATCTTTGTGGAAGTTTGTAAATTTATGGCAACAAATCCTGAAGGGTTACATATCACACTTGAATGTGCTAGGAAAATGACTGCCCTGAAGGACGGCTATCCTGGTCTTTCTAAGTTAGAAATCATCTGAGCTAATTAGCTTCATCTCATAAGAACGTGCCAGTTTAGAATCGTGTGCAGTTTAGAAGCATGGGATCTGGCTTACTCTTCCAAGTGCAGTCTGCCAGCCTGGGGGCAGACCCGTCCTCAGAGGCTTCATAGCTCCAAACACCCCTTTTGCCACCCTGCCTCAGTGACACCTTCAGGAGAGGGTGAATCTGTCTTCAGCCTGTGTCCCCCTGACGCCAGACCCATGCTTTCCCAGATCCTTGATTCAGTAGCCACCATCTATTCAGCTCCAGATAGCTTAGGGAAGGGAGAGAGAGGGAAGCCTAAGTTATTCTGATTGACAATTGTCACTGAAGGCCTTTGTGCTTACTTACGTAAGGGTCTGCTTAACTCCTGGCTGGACTTGTCCTTACCCGGGCTAGGGTTACAGAGTCAGGTTTCTCACCTGACCTGAACTGTGTCCAGGAAGATCATGTCCAGCTTCTTTTCCGTAAGTAATTGTTCAGCCTTTGGAGATTCCTGGCATCCCTTCATTGAAAGACCAAATGAAGGCATTGACGCTGGTCTGCGCTTTGTCACCCCAGTGCATGAAGCTTCTAGGCTCAAAGGAAAAGAGGAGGAGGAACAAATAAAATATGTGTGGAAGAGAGAGAGGAAGGAAAAATGGAAGGAGAGGAGGAGAGATTACCTTATCTACCAGTTAAAAATTCAGTATAGAAAAGTGGAATTCAGTAGTGAATTTTTGAAGTCAACTCACGTTTATGCTGTATAAATTATATCTTCACTGTGATATATGATAAAAGAGGAACGTGAGAAGAAATCCTGAATACCAATAACATTCCTGTATAATAGAATTTCTTGACTTCTATAAACCATTTCTACACAAATTGCTAATGTCTACTTGGAAAGAAAATCTAAGTGTCTGTCCAGAGAAAGTCAGAGAGAGGTAAACTGTCACACACAGTAAGAAACATGCAGGGGATTTATTGTATCCTTTCCTCTAAAGAGATTATATTTTGCATTACATTTTGTATCACTGGCATCATGGTATGATTTCTAATAAAATATTTATGCTTTATATTCATAATAATAAGTCTTCGCAAACAATTTAGAAACTTAAAACTAGTTAATTTAGAATGCATGTGAAACTCAGGACTTATATAAGTAGATGAGATAAAACATAGCTTATGTTCCATTCCTTTCTTCTTCTTCTTCTTCTTCTTCTTCTTCTTCTTCTTCTTCTTCTTCTTCTTCTTCTTCTTCTTCTTCTTCTTCTTGTTTTGTTTTGCATCATTAGACCGAGCCTGGCTGATAGAACCAAGGAAGGTCCAGAAGCTTCAGGAAAAAATTTATTTTGCACTTCAACATGTGATTCAGAAGAATCACCTGGATGATGAGACATTAGCAAAGGTAGGTTCTCAGATCACAAACCCGTCGTCACTGAAAGAGGGCAAGGAAATCCTCTCAGTGGCAAAAATTTCTGAAAGCTATTAAAAGCTGCATGAATGCTAAGCTGTGTACTTTTTGTAATGGGAGGCTGGTAAATGATAGCTTGAGAAGCAGCGAGCCTTCTCAGAGAAGGTTGATACTGAAGATCTAAACTCGAGGTACCAGAGGACAAATCAAAGGAATTGTGGGTGTCTCATCAGAGCCACAAGGAAGCAAGGCTTCGACTTTGCACCACCTGAGGAGCCAGGCCTGGGCGAAAGTTAAGAGCAAATAGACTCTTATTCCAAATAAGAAAGATGCAGTGAATGGGGAGACTCAGTGAACAGAGGGGTGGACAACTAACCGTGAAGTGGTGAGTCCCCCATCACTGTCATAGTCAGGGAGTTTCTGCCCGTTCACCACTCAGTTGTGTTGGGAATATCAGTCAGACCCAAGAATGGAAGATTAGGCTGACACCTTATAAGTTTCCCTTCAACTCTGATCTCTTAAGAAATGACTTGCCTTGGGATTCTTTCAAGATGGGGAAGCATCGCAGGACAAACATGCCGCTTGCCGCTATTTTCTTGACTTAGCTTAGTGAAGATGCTCATGGTTATGAGCAGGGGGAGAAGCTGTTTACCAAAGTAAGATGATCACAAAAGGAAGAAGTAATTTTCCATGGTTGACAGTCAGCATTATTTTTAAATCCTACATTAACTTCGATTTCTTAAAAACTAGGATTTGTGTTTTTACAAAGACACTATCATTTCAGATTATCTCTGATTTCTTAGAAACTGGACTTAGAAACAATAAGAAATGGGGAGACTGAGCTTATTCTTGGTTAAAAATAATAGAAATCCTACTCTTTATATTTTTATCATTAAGCCTTCCCACTCTGCCCTTGAAGTTCTTTATTTAAATAGGGGGAGGAAGGGTAAAGAGTCTATTTGGAGACATCATCAGATTTTACTTTGCACATAGAACTGCTATAAAAAACCTCCATGAGTTAAATATGCCGCTTCATTATGGTAACATTTTGTTAAAATTAACGCATCACCAGGAAGAACACTTCCCTGCTCACTGTACAGCAATAGTTCTTTTTGACGTAACTTTCCATTCCATATGCGAGGAAGGACAGGTAACATGTTGTCTATACCTTAAATTTTTCTCAGGAAGTAAAGATAATAACATGAATATGGGTATTTTCTCTACAGCTGCCTGGTAACATACATGCAGAAATTCATTGGCGTAATGAATGTGGAGGTGTGTTTCTTGCATGTGAGATCTCCCAAGGACTTTGGTCTTGATATTTATCGTGCTAACGTTAAGGTCTTGGGAAAAATAGAATTAGAGGAAAGTTCTCACTATTCTGCCTGGAGAGATTGTCTGTTTGCTCAGCAAGCCTTTTCTTAACATCTATGGAATGACAATTACAGATTCTCAGCCCTGTACAAATGTGTTATGAGATTATGATGCTTATGTCCTGGGAAGGTAAAATGTTTGTGCTTATTCCTTCCTCTGTCCTGGTGTCCTAGTGGGGCTTTATTTGATGTTTTAGAAAAAAAAACAGAAAAATAAAAGGTTAGAGATGTTCCAGAACAAATTACAACATTGATTACAGGTCAGCCTAACTCTCCTGTCTCTATCTTTAGTGGGAAAAATACACAATACTGTTTTTTTTTTTAAATAAAGGGTAATATTTCAAAGCTGGGAACAAGATGAAACATTAGCAGAGGTTCATTTCCTGCATAAAACTGCATGGATCCAGGTGGCCAAGGGTTGCTTCCACAGGCTACATGAGATATTAGACTTTTATATGGACCCTTCTCTTGTACCATTCATCATCTTACCGTGATCTATTTGAGCTAACGTGAAGAGATTATAAACAGAATCACAACTTGATCTCTTCCTTCTCAGATCTGAGTTGCATGGACTCAGTCAGATAAGGGACTCTATTTGTCTCAGATTGTCATAAAACATGAGAGCTGGAGGTGAATCTCTTTGATTCCACCTGTTTTAATACTCTGAGGACAAGCACAGTGTCAATATATAATACACAGCATCTGTCAGTTTTCCTTTACTATGACAAATAACCTGACATAAACGGGTTCAAAAAGGATGTTTTATTTCAGTGCATGGTGTCAAAAACTTCAGTCTGTGGTGGTTGGCTCTGTTGTTTGAGGACCTCTGTTGTGGTGTTCTCATCATGGAGGAGAAAATGTTATGGGAAAAGCTGCTGACCTCATAGTGGCTGGGAAAAAGAGAGAGAAGAGAAGAGGCCATGGCCCCCATATCCCCATCAAAGGTTCTACCACCTCCCAGCAGGACCTGGGGATGGGCACCAACCCTTCAGTATATGGGCCTCTGGGGGACATTTAAAATGCAAACTGTAGTAGATGCTCTATCATTGAACTCCAAAAAGGATTGTTTTATTTAAATCCAAAAGAAAGTATTCCACCCTGCTATGGCTTCTCTTCATCTTTTCAGAAAATCTCCTTGTACTTTTATAGTTGTGGAGATTTTCTGCCACCATCATACCTTTATTAATATCTCTTATTCAAGGAATCTGTGAAGAGTACAGTGAACATTATAAAATCTATCTCCAGAAAACCCATCCATATCTAAAATACTGCATTAGAGTCCAGAGGCTCAGCTGTAATCTCCAGGACAGTGGAGAAGGTAACTCTCCCTTCTTCATAATGTACAAAGGACTATTTGCCTGACCAGTTTGAGCCTGGCCAGTTGTAACAGACATCAAGATACAGGTACAGGGTTTACACTGTCATTGAACTTCATCCTAGCAAAACACGTCTCCAACACATTCACTGACTGAAATTAAAGTTTAGGAAGCAATGCTTTATATTTTTGACTCAACTTCAACCTTCAGAAAGTTTAGAAATTCAGGGATTCTGTATCCATTAACTAGAAAGTTTTAGTCCTCAAATATTAATCAGTTTTTTGGTTGGGAGAGGGGGATTTGAGATTAGAAAAAACATTAAATGATCTAGCTTGCTCTTCTCCTCAGCAGAATGGTGATACATAGCATATTTAAAATAAGCTTTCAGCGCCACCACTAGCTGAGTGACCTTAAACACCTGATTCAAATTGTCCATCTCTACTTGTTCTCATCTGTACAATTTGATTTTATTACCTATGTCATGTGGTTATTTTGGAGACTAAAAGAGATAAAACATAAGTAAGCTTCCCAGCTCATAATTAGTAATATGTAAGTGCTATTGCTATTACTATATTAGTTGTTTTTGCCTTGACAGACAATTGAGATGATCTTCTAGCTCCAAAGTTGCAGAAGATTAATGTTCTCATCATGGAGTTGTGATTAAAGATTAATGTTATTTCAGCAAGGAAACATTTTTCCGAGAGTTAGAGTCTACAGATTAACCACTGAAGGATGAAATCTTTTCCAGAGATGAAAGTTAGGAAGTTGGGAGAGTGAGGAATGGCCATCCCATGTGATAGGACTATGGTGGTAGGAAGGAGAAAAATATAAGGTATATTTGGACTATAAATAATAGTTAGATTTGGCTGGATCCTGGATTTGAGAAGCCAGGAAATGAGATAACACTGGTCACTTTCACTAGAGCTCATGAAAAATATCTATGTACATATATATTTTTAAGCCCCCATATGACTAGACGAGGAAGCCCATCTGTTCTCTGGGCTTCATTTTTCTTGTCTGGGAAATGAGTAGGTTGGATTACATAGTCTGTAAGGGCCCTTCAATAGAACATTCTTTGGTACCCAAAAGAAAAACAAAGGTTCTTCTTCACATCTTCTTTTGCCTTCCAATGTTCAGTCCTGTTTTGCCACTTTACGTGATGATAAAGACAGATTTCACCACATCTTTCAGATTCAAATTATCATCAGTGCACGATGGCCATTTCCTCTGAGATGACCTTCCAGCCCCACAGTGACGGAGGGTACAACATTCATGAAGCCAGTGCCCAGAAGTCAGCATCTCTGTTAGGCTCCTTGAAGGGACTCCTTCTGCATGTGCATGAAGGGCAGCTTCCAGTCATCCTGATGGGTTTTCTTCCTAGCTAAGGACTTCCGGAGCTTTGGACCCCTTGTGCTCTCCTTTGCTCCACTGAAAACAGGAGGACCATTGCTGCTGCAGGTCAAAGGGTGGGAGTCCAGCATGAACGACTGCACAGACTGTGGGTTCTCTGGTTCTACGGGCTTTCTTTATAAACCACTAAAACTGCCCTTCTTCTTGCCCTGACAAGAAAGACAGAAGCAGGAGGGAGGAACAGCAAAACTTGGATCTGAATGACTGCTTTCCGGTGTGTGTTTCCTGCTCTTTCCTAAAAGCAGCTTTTGGATCAGGCCCGCAGCTAGAGATGTGTTTGATGTAGACCTCCTCCAGTTCAACCCTTCCTCTGAGCTGACCCTTCTTTCTGTGCCCCCTGGGTAAATAGGGTCAAGAGATAACACTGGGTAATCCATTTCTTCTTCATAGCACTTCTGCATGCAGGAAGAACACTCCTGGAGCTGAGTTCTTGCTCAAAGCTACACAAAAATAAACTCATTAACAATACCTTTACATCTCCGAACCCGGAGCTCACTCAGCATTCCACAGGCGGGCCTAGAAGGACCGTGGCTTGTTATGTTGCACAGCTGTAGCACTTCAGAGAGTGCCTGCCTTCTGCTCAGCTCTCAAAATGTGTCCAAATGTTTGGGACTTGCCGTGTGCCGGAGATGTCAGCACATCACACATGTTCTGGGTACTTTTAGTCCCACATTTGTATGCAATGAATTCTTTCAAATTCTTCCAGAATATAAGCTTGATGTCAGAGGCAAGGAAGCTGAGGCAGGCAGATGACAAGTTTGAATTCAACTGGACAACGTAACAATTTAGGGAGGCTCTGTCTCAAATTTTTTTTAAAACGTCTTTAAAGGCTGGAGTTCTAGCTCAAGGTGAAGCTCTAAGTTCAGTCCTGCAGCACCAGAAACAAATCTTTCAA